TGATTATTCGCACCACCCAGGGCAGCCGCTGCGCTCGTGTTACGATGAGTTGGGAGATAATATGGTGGTCCAAGACTGCCCTCTGCGTCACTTGGAGGTGCGCTGGACAAACTGTCGAGAGAGGAACTCCTGCCGTCCACTTCCATTTTCGGCCTCCAACCGCCACACTTCTCTCAAGATCACAGGTGCAGCTGACGCCGCAGTCATCGACAGCAGCTTGCTTTCAATCAAGACGGAGCTAGGTGATGTGAGCTTTTGAGCAGCCTTGATATCGACGCTGAGAGGAGTGAGATCGGTGGTGGTGGTTGATGGTAGGTGGATGGACGAGCACTTCCGGTGTGAGTTAGGGTGTCCTACAAAGAAATGGTTGAAGTGACAAAGTGGTGTGCGATGCAGTCCAACTGCAGTTGTGAAAACACCAGGTATGAATTAGTAGTGATGAATGGTTAGCGGCGAAGATGCGGCGTGGTAAAGCGCTAGGCGCAGGCAGAGAACATCAAAGTAAGATCAGGATTGAAGTAGCGTGCAGTGCTCCGCGGCGGCAGCTTCACAAGGCGCGGGAGGGCGAAGAGGAGTGGGAAAAGGTCGAGAAAAGAGGACACAGATGGGAGGAGGCAGAAATAGTATATGTATGAGTGTGACGGGTGCAAGCAAATAAGTCTTGACAAAGAGCATGAGCATGAGCCAGGATGAGCCAGGATGAGCCAGGATGGGCTACGAGGCGAAGGCAACGAAACACCAGACCAGCGTGGCCGGAGGCAAGAGTGGATAAAAAGTGAATGGAACAGGCACATCGCGAAGCCAAACCAGGAGCTGGGACTGCCAAACACGAAACAAGCGGGCAGGCCAGAGCGCAAAGGAGCAGCGCAGCGCGCACTGGGTGGAAACGGCCAGGTAAAGGGAGGCAGAGGGAAAGACATGATGGCGAACTGGAAAGGGCATCGAGCTTCGAAGGGGGAGGCCGAAATTATCTCCAGCATCTGGCAAGTGACATCTCACAGTGTGGTGCGAGGCTTTGAACTGCGTTCGGCTCAGATACGCAGAAAATATAGGGCGTGGCGGCAGGCGAGGCAAGCTCGCAGAAATAAAAATGAATGTTCATTGGTCGGCCCGTTTGAAGGAAAGTCGACTTGGCCGCAGTTCCGCTCAGTTGGACTGCGATTCATTCCTCAGCCACACATCGGGTCGACTCGCACACTCTTGCTGCCGCGAGAGGAGCCTCTATCGGACTGGCACATACTGTGCGCCTACGATCATAAGCTCATTGTCCTTTGTCTCCGTCGGAACAGGGAGGCATCCTCAGCATCTGTCCATAACAGACCCCGAGTTTGGAGCAGAAAGATCGGAGTGCCCCACCTGTGAGATCCTACCCCTGCAAAGTGGCTTGCATGATTGGCGCGAGCTTCGGGTAGTTTAGTCCGAACGCCCGCCCCAAACCTTTTTAATCCGATGAAGTCAAGGACTGAATCGATCTCTCCGGCGTGAAATGTACCACGACTGTGCAGAGAGTCGATGCATTTTTAGAGTACCCGCAATATGGCTATCCCGGGGCAGAGATTCGAGCTGGACCTCGATGCCGACAATTTCACGTTCAATTCCGTCTCAGATGATGTTTCTCAAGAACAGGTGCTCGATTTCAGCATCAAAGACATCCAAGAACACGACACAGACGCTCCCCCGCCGGCCCCTTCCCTGAAATCCTCCAAGTCGGGATTCCCTCAGCACAAGCAACGTGCCAAAGTTTCCGCCTTCAAGCAAAGAAACCAGTCCCTGCACCCCTCAATAGCTACAAAAGTCGAGCCCTCAGATCAAGCAATCAAACACCATGTGGGCAGGAAATACGGCGTTGATATGGACGCGCAGCAGAAGGCCGAGATCAGTGAAGAGAACAAGAGAAGAGTTGCCGAGATGTCAATAGAGGATCTCGAAGAGGCAAGGGCTGAATTAACAAGGAGCCTGAACCCTGCCTTTTTGGAGAGACTGCTGAAGCGAGCGAACATCGAGGAGGATCAGTTGCAGCAAGCGCAGTGGCTCGAAGCTAATGTTGAGGAACCGAACGATCAGAATGCTCTCGAGCAAGATATCGAATCCGCATCAGATACGAATGAACAAACCGCCAGGCCACTCCAGTCTAGCGAATCCCAACCAGCACCCTCCATCCACTTCCCCGTTCCTCCGCGCTCCGCAGACGCCTACAAACCGTTGAACCCAGACGACCCGTCCTTCCTCGCCGACCTCAAAACGCACTACTTCCCTGATACGCCCCACGACCCTTCCTCTCTCTCCTGGTTGCAAGATCCCTCTGAAGAAGAGACCGCGGCTTCGCTATATAACCCCACCAAAGACTCTTTCCTCGCCTCGTCTTTGCGTTTTGGGTTTGATGGGGCCTTGATTCCCCCGCAACGCAGTCTCGAGATTGACGTGAAGGAAGGGTTGCACCATCATGGCGATGATCCCAGCAGCGCGGGATATACGATTCCTGAACTGTCGATGCTGTCACGTTCGACACTGCCCAATCAAAGATGTATGGCGTACCAAATTTTAGGACGAATCCTGTATAGACTTGGGCGCGGAGATTTCGGACCCCGCGGAAGTGAGCTTCAAGAGGCCATCTGGTCCGTCGTTGAGAAAGAGAGACCCATCGAAGTCATGATGAGTGAAGCGAATCGTCATTCTGGACATGCTAGTGCCAAAGCACACGCTGTTGAAGCCCTCTGGCTTTGGAGGAAAGGAGGTGGTGGTGACAGGGGCATTTTGAAGCCAGGCCAAAAACTGGCAAAGTGACACGGACACTGGGCAATTTTGGTGCAAAGGGTAACACAGTCGCTTGCCCATTTCTGAACGAAGGGGAAAGCGGACAACAGAGTCAGGAGGGTAGTAAAGATTGCAAGAATGATGAGTTGCTGAGTTGCTTTGCATCTTGTACAACCAAACAGCAGGAACAAGAGGTGAGTAGGAATCAGAGGGCACACAGCAACCCGAATAAGTGGGATTAAGGAACGTCTAACTGTCGAGTAGTGGAAACGCATAAGAGCGTCTGAATTGAGCAACGCAGGGACTTTGATCACTCCCACTGCGAGCAAGGGCGACAGCAGAAGCGGCCACTAGTCGAGCAACCCTGCTCTACCTCGCACAACGGTTCTCACCGTTCAGGTAACATTTTCTCGGATCGCACAATGATCCGACCGAGGGTAGCCTCAAGCTGACTCCTACTCCGTTTGACTGGAGAGACCTTCATGTCTACACTTACCACCAAGACATTACAGTTGCTGAAGTAACCTTTCCGCCAGGCTCCTTCCGCAGTTGTGCTCTCTATGGTATGGAGTCCCCCTTGGCAAGTCGCAGACAAGATGCCACTCGCCTGAGTCTTCCAGTTCCGTCTCTACAATCAAGCCAGCCCAGAATCAAAGTGGCGGACTTGCCGATGTCCCGCGGTTGAGGCGGATTCAAGCGCTTAGTAGAATCAAGGTGCCGGCTGCGTCTATCAACCCCTCTTGTGCTCGTATCATTTCTCCGTGTTTCTATGCTTTCGTTGGAAGAAGGGACCTACAGTAACGAGGAGACGCCCTGACCAGCGCCGAGAGGTGCTGCGAGCAAGTTCCACTTGAGAGGTCACTGAACACACTCACACCGCCGCGGAGAGCTTCTTCGAGCTCCAACTGCTCCTCAGAGCTTGGTTCTAACATGGTTGCTGGGAAAAACAACGAGCATCGTGGGTGGATTTCGAGCAATGCTGAGAGGGTCTTCTGACCGAGCTGCATTGTCTACCACATTGCCACTAGCCCTCGTGGTTCCTCCTATCAGCCGTGTCCTGGACGATCCAATTTCATGTCATCCTATATCACCACTAGTGAAGCTCCGACCGCAAGTGTGTATGCTGTGGAAGAAGTGTGGCTTTATGGCAACGCCGCAATACAGGGGCACAGGCCAACTTCCTAACAGGACCGGTTACTCCCCAATGATCATTCCATTTGGGATAGTGAGCCTCCCAGAGGCTTCGAGCTAGTCCTTCTGAGATATTGCAGGACGACACTCCACCACGATGAAGAATTGAAATGAGTGCGGACGCAGATGATCAGAACTTTCAGATTGTCGCCTTGCCAGTTGCTGTTTTCTCCCTAAGCCTACATCACAGCTGGCGGTCCCTATCTTCGCCACCTCTTCATGAAACATAGGAAGAAGTGACTGCTTGACCCATGGACCGGATTGCCTGCATCGCGCTTCTTTGCAAGCAAAAAGGCCGATGGTTCCTGAACCCGTGGTCTAGGATCAGAGTTGAGCCAGGAGATGGAGGCGGGTTAGCCAAGGCTTGACACCGCTCCGCACCCGAAGAGATGTGCTTTTGTTTTTGTAAGGTGCCGTGCGTTGGTTTATTACTTGCAATTGCTGTTGTTGAGAGTCATAGGTTTGAAGCATGCAGCGATGCAATGCGCGTCCCTCTGAGTACAGGCACACAGGTATAGAGAGATGACACCCTTGTGAATACTAGTATGGAGCAAGTTCCACCGCGGTATCCGTCTCCAGCATTCGAGGCTGTGCCCCGTCTGATCACATCATCTGTCGCCAAATATTTCGTTCCAATTTGCGGAAGGGGGCTGTATTATATCTTCTACTAAGCTAATCAACCCCTTCGTTGATAGTCCCATCCACGCGCAAATGCTCTAGGCCCCTAAATGCAACCGGCTCTGAATGATGGGCGGCAGGAGGTGAGACATGTCTCTTGTGCTGACATTGGGAAAAGGCCCTGAGGGTGTGATGACGGAATCAACATGACTATACATGTGCTGCGCACGAGTCGTGTCCCAGGACCTAGTCTTTTCTGATTGTCTATCTGTCTCACGCTTCGTCATGGACCGCACGGACCCGAGCTCAGATGTCAGAGGAACCCGAACCTTGATAACGTGAAGCGTAGCAGGAGCAATGCGCCATACTTGTTAACAACCCTAACCACCGCCCACCACGCGCAAGACGCGAGAACGGCTTCAGAAGAAGACAAATCCATGGAGAAACGCCCTGTCCGCACCGTCCTCGTCACAGGCTGTTCCGACGGCGGCCTGGGCGCGGCCCTCGCCGTCGCATTCCACAAACACCGCTGGTACCGCGTCATTGCGACAGCACGGAACCCGGAAAAGATGACGCATCTCCGCTCCCTCGGTATCGAAACCCTCCAGCTCGACGTCCTTTCCGAAGAAAGCATCTCGGCCTGCGTGGAGAAGGTCTCCGCCCTCACCGGCGCGACACTGGAAGTCTTGGTGAACAACGCGGGGGCCGGATACAACATGCCCATCCTGGACGCGTCCCTCGAGCAAATCAAGAAGCAATTCGAGCTCAACGTCTTCAGCGTCATCCGGGTCACCCAGGCTCTTTTCCCGCTCCTGCGCGCCTCGAGCTCCGAGACGAAAATGATCGTGAATAACACCTCCTGCGCACCGGAGCTGGCGTTCCCCTTCCTGGGACCGTACACGGCCTCGAAAGCCGCGCTCTCAACGGTCACGGAGACGCTGAGGCTCGAAATGCAGCCCTTTGACATTAAAGTTGTGGATCTCAAGACCGCGGCCGTCAAGTCCCGCTTCTTCGACAACGTTGGCACTAACGACGCTGTCGTATTGTCGGACAGCAGCCCCTACGCGGCGGGCAAGGATGTGGTCGAGACGTTCATGCAGAACGGGCCGCCGGCGAAACTGATGGACGCCGATGCTTGGGCGAAGAATGTCGTCGCGGACTTATCGAAGCGCGGGGGCAAGGGCGCGCCCGACCAGATTTGGCGGGGCGCAGGCGCGACGTCGGCGTGGTTTGCCGCGACGTTCATACCGGTTGGGTGGCTGGACGGGACGGTCAAAAAGTATTCTGGCTTGAAGGAGGTGGAGAGGCGGATCAGGGCAGGAGAGAAAGAGAAGATCACTATGGGGCAATGAGTTCTTGTGGGTTACAGCGTGGTCGGGAAAAATGGGCTAGACGACACCGTTTGTGACTGAGATGGCGGTGGAGGAAGTCGCGTGGGATCTGTGCGACGTTGTTTTCTACGAACGGATGCTACTATGTCGTTGATCGCCAGCCACCCCTTGGGCACCCGCAGTCAACCACGGGAGCGCGTCTCTCTTTCCTTGGCCCTCTGTCGGTCTTTGTGGCTCATGACGTATGTTGATTTGACTCATCCCTAAGCGACTCCAGTACAGCCTATGAAGAGTGGCGTGAGAAGAGTGGCGTGAGTGTGAACAGCAGCATCGTCCAAGCAGAACCGACGTTGGCTGGAAAGCTCGACTTGACTCAACTTACCTCGGACAGCACCTCGGGCGCTGTGATGATAAAGAATCCCAACCTCATCTGCTTGGTGTGGACGATCAGTTAGTCAGGCAGTCGAGTCCGAACATCCCAAACTGGGTGAACGGACAGGGAAGAGACAAGATGTAAGGTGAGTTGTGGCATGTAAGAATCGAGCTCCAACAGTACCGAAAGGAGAGTGATGGACGGTAAGTCATTCCGTACCTTGAGTTCATATTGGTTGGGATACGTTCTCTCGAGATAGCCCTTGAGTACGTCGAATTTCAAGGAGTATTCGTGGACCTTTTGGGTCTTGGAGCCCGCCGGGAAGGAGAAGGAGGTCGATGATGATGTGCCGGATGAGGACGTCTGAGTACTTGTGCGAGATACAGGCATCGTGGGAACCCTTGGACTGGAAGTACTCCGTACTTGAGTATGGATATGCTGCGTCCGTGTGCCAAGCGCGCGCCTGGATGCTGGTATTGAAAAGCTAAGCCAAGGCCGGGAGTGAGTGGCTGTGGTTCACTTCCCAGGTTCTCGGACACACGTGGGAGGCGGGTCGGGAGGATGGTGTAGAGGCAATGTTGCGACGGCTGACATGGATAAATACTGGAATGCAGTGAGGCTGAGCAGCCCGCCTCCCTCGTTCCCTCCGTCTTTGTGTAACCCACCAGTCTTCTTTGACGGCAGGGAATCTGGTTGGTGGATAGAGATCAATCTTGACCGGTTAGTTGCTTTGCGAGTAGGCAAATGACGCGGTACGACGTCCTGCAGGGTACGAGAGTGACCGGGGGCTTGAGCTGAATGTGCAAATTCGAGCACAAGGGCGTCCGTATCGCCCCGACTATTGCTCACCAACACGAGCTGGCGCGGCAGGGCTGGCACGAGCGGGCCAAACCTCGTATACCGTCTTTGCGAACTTTTGCACTCTCCTGTGAGGCCCAGAGAATCACTGTCCCCGCTGTCAGAATTGTGTACTATCACTTCCACTCCTCCATGTCCGTGTCCCGGTCTGAGAAAGGGGTTTCGAAGTGCTGTCTCAGATCCACGTGAACCTCCCAAACACCTCGCCTGTTGTGCGCGTCAGCGCTTCAACCAAGCAAAATCCCGGAAGCCAGTAACCAAACGAGATTGATTTTGTGAGCCAATGTCAACTCCCGAGAATCCACCCATTCCATCACCCTCTTGCGCCCAGTACAAGATGAGAAAAATCGTAAGAATCATAAATTCATTGTCAAGATCCTGCCTGCGAGCGATGGGCCATCCTGTGCACGAGGAACTGGAGAACTCGAGGGCTGTCGTACCCTGCTTCTCAGTCCAACCCTCATTGTTCACTGCCGTAGACACTCGATCTGTTGCTGCCGCAAGTAGGTTAGCAAAAGCCCAGCACGGCGGAATATACACTTACTTCGTCCAACCTCGACGGTGCCTCGATGACGAAGCAATCCAGCCGCCGGAAAACTCTGAAGCTGGGGGCACTGGACCCGGCTGGCGGATGCAGCACTTCCAGAAGACTTTCGAGCCTCTTGCGATCGATGTCGTAGCTGGGGACCTTGAATTTCTGGGTTTTCCGCATGTCTGGCCAAGGGTCTTGCGCCATAGAGAATTCTCTGCTCTGGTGTTGATTTGGGAGGACCAGTCGGATCACGTGAGGAGCTGGCGTTGCAGGATGTGATATGACTTTCTGTTAGTGTGCAGGAATTGATGCTTGTACAAGAAGGAAACCGCGGGTAAGAAGCAGAAGGCATGGGGAGCGGGTAAGGGGGTCTTTGCAGGTTTAATGCACAACCATGTCAGGCGCGAGGAGGCGGGCAGTGCTGCAGTCCAGAGCTGGCGGCATTGTGGCATGACTTGTTGCGTATGGCAGGACGGAATCCGCCTCAAGCGCTTTCCTCGCTGGGCGCAATGCTTCCATTTCCGTTGTTGCTCACTTCTGAGGCACAACTGAGCCAAGAGTGAATGGAATGCGGGGCACTTTGACTCTCCACCAATCACGAGCTGGCACTTTGGTCAAACCGAACACGGCATCTCGAACGCGAATCTTCCGCACGACAACACCTCCCTTGAGTGGGCTGATTCTGCCTACAGGGCCAGAGCTGCCTTCGCTGCCCCCATGCCCAATCTCCGCCACACTGTTCCTGCCTAAGTGTGCCTCTCTACGACCGGGCTACCTCGTTTACTGTAATTTGCTGCTTTCCTGGGCCAGACGGTGCCCACGGTCGTACAGACGACGAGACCGGCCTGCGCTCCGCGCATAGCATCCCGTGTAACGTAAGCGACCTGCGACATACACGGAGTCCAAGAGGCAGTCACAACTTGGATGGCAATGTTGCTTTCGGTGCGGCTGAAAGCCCGGCAGAAATGTGTCTCAAGTGGCCAGGATGGGCGGCGCCACTTCATCAGGTCACATTGTATGCTGGACCTGGGCGCACCATCTGAGGACATTGCCGGTCGCGATCAGGCCGTGATCTCCTGATCACCATTTATGTGGGCGACCGCGAACGCCTCTCGATTTGTGACCACCACGATGAGACTATTCTGAGCACGAGGAGGGTACATCACAATCCAGATGGAACAGTCCAAGTCCGTATATCGGTTACTCATTACAGACCAGGCGCCTGCAGCGGCAGCCTACTTCGAGTCACGCGTAGATGCCTGCTTCTCTCCTGACACCGGCCAGGTGCAGCTCACAGTCCTTTCCGGCAACAATGCTGGCAGCTTCATGGGACCTGAGTCTCCAGCATCGGAAGCATTTCCACCGGCACCCGTCGACGTCGGGAAACAGAGTCTAGCAGATGGGCGTCGGCGAATTCCCGAGCCATTGGAAATCCGTTCCCCGTCCGAATTGCCTGCAATTCAAAGAGTAAGATCTGTTTTGGAAGACAAACGCCTGCGCTGACCTTTGCGAGGATGGAGCGAGTGATATCTCCCTGTTGTCAGTGCCATCCTTCGGGGCGAACGACCACGACTGAGTAACATTCCAGCTTCATCGAGCAGAGGTCCTCACGAAGCCCTCTGAACATATCCCTTTCATTCTTTCAGACTTTTCTGCAGAAATATCGGGTCTCATACCGCATCTTCGATTTTGTCTGTTGCTTTGGGCGTCCTAGTGGCGAGATGGATCTGAGCCCGCCGCCAACAATGTTCAGATGGCTTCCAACTCAAAGCTGTGACTCAAACAATGATTTTGGTATGTGCTGCGCCTTCAGCGGCCGATGCTAACCAGCAAGAATGCACCTATGTTCTTCGGTTTGTCGAACTCAATAATCGTGGCGAGACGAACCCGTGGTCGCTTCGTCAAACACTGGTCTTCCATCGTCAATCAACGGAGTCTATGTGGCTTTTCATCAGCTTGTCTGGATCCATGACTTCGATGCTTGGTTCCCAGTTCACTCCCGGGGCAGACCTCTTTCAAGATCCGTTTGCCCTCCACCTGCTCCTGATTAATACCGCAGCCGCCACGTGGCGAAGGTATCTAGCGTATATTGCTCAAGAGGTCCGCAATGTGGTATGTGCCTCACTAATCACTGCTCCGCACCATAACAGCTGATCTGGTTGGAAGGCCGAGCAAGCAATCCTGGTGGACTTTGAGCATGATGGGGCACACCTAGGCGAGCTTGAACAACGTCAATATCTGAAGCAGCTTGAAGATATGATAACCAGTCTCATAAGCGCGGTCGATTCGTCCCTGGACGTGTGCGCAACCCTTCGTTCCAATCATACCAAATATACACAGATCAGGGTCGGTCCTCGCGATCAATCGTCTCTGCAACGCCGCAAAGACCTATTTGACCAAGTGTTAAGCGAGAAAGAGCGAGAACTGCGACACCATCGTGCTCAAGCCGGTGTGCTCCGCATGCGAATCCGCAGTGCTGAGGCTCTTGTACGTCAAACGTCTATCCTTGGCTCGTGGGCACTGACGGAGACAGGTCACAAATATACTTGATCTTGGGAATGGTAACTCCTTGAGACTGCTCGCGATAGAAGCTCAGGAGGAGAATAAAGCCATGCAAGGAATCACTACAAAGGGTTTGAAGGATGCAGCAGCTGTCAAGGTCTTGACAATAATCACCCTGGTATACCTCCCAACGACGGCTGTCCTGGTACGTAATTCCTTTATTACGCTCCGCGAGTTAGGAAAGCGCTGACCTCGAATGCAGAACTTCTTCTCAACCTCCTTTGTGAACTTCGGGCCCAACCGCAATGGCGATGCCACACTTACAGTGGCTGGTAATTGGTGGATTGCTCTGGCAGTAGCCGCGCCCCTTACCATTTTTACGATATACATCTGGTCGTTCTATGTCGACACCTTTGTCTATAACAATCCACCGGCGTGGTGGCGATGGGTTAGTAGCTGGCTGAATTACCTGGCGGCTACGCACACGTGGAAACTGCGAAACCCGGGCCCGGTTGGTCAAGGGATGAATGGAGCGTAAGGCCTCTTGCATGGCTATTGCTGTCGAGGCCAAGACAGATCACGAAGCGGTCGATATGTCCGAAAGTCGAGAAGGTAAATTAGCATGAGGCTGATTTCGTCGCCTTGCATGGCTTGCATATGCGGTTGACGACGGTATGGAGTACATAACTGAGTACCCTTGGCGGCTCCATGCAGATTCACGCCAGACTAGGCGTTTTCGGAGACGCGGCTAGACACTTCAGGGCACTTCTCGCTAACGGAAACACGAGCATCTCAACGACAACTCGAGGCGGGGATTGGGTGGTTCCGCACTTGTGATCCTTTGGGGTTACACAACGGCGCAGCCATGCTGATTTGGCATGGGCTGTAGCTTCGACTCCTACGAAAGGGCACGTTCTACCGTCCAGCCCGCGCCCCCGGAGGAGAGACCTGGTCGGCTGGCAGCTGAGACCGGAGTGCATTCAATGCTGAAAAGAGATGTGCGGCTCTGGGCCTTGTTAATGGGTTCCCACCTCCAGCGACGCCATTCTTATCTACAGCCTGATGTCTCCTGCACGTCGTTTATTCCCCTCGCCTGGATTGTCAAGACTCTGCAAAAATGGCTAAATTCCATGGGAACACCCCAACCGGAATGAAAAAGATACTTTCATGCTTCAATTGGAAACGCGATAAAGGTGAGCGACTCGTACCCGTGGCTGCGTTGGAACTAAAATTGGCAAGGCCAAGGTTCTCAGCCGCAAGGTCGGCAACAGGCGCAAGGCCTCAAGGCGACACATGCCAGTGCTCGTAACGAAGAAGCCGAAGTTGGACAGATCCCCCTAACAGAGCCATCAGACGTCGGCAATGGTCCAGGAACTCAAGCGACCGCCTCGCAAGGACCACAACAAGAGGTACCATCAAGTGCATCTCGTACTAATCACGGCCATGAAGCGACGCCACTTACGAGGCCTGGGGAAGGCCACAGTGTCCGAGATGATCATGCTGCCAGGGGCAGGCCTGTCAAAGGCCCTCTGTCGCGCGTGGGTCGACCTCAGTCACAATCACCGCGGAGCAGTTTGGATTGGAGCCACCCATCGAGTCGTTTCTCATATTCGGCGGGCTCGGAGAACGACGAGGACCATGTCACACAGAGACAGCCAGGATCTCCCCAATATAGGGTACACCCTCCATCACGCACACAAACTATGGAAGTCCCTGTGGAATTTGACAGTAAAAATCTTATGGTGCATCCCAAGCAGCCAAAGAGCGCATCGCCGCTAGGCTTATATACATCACGATCGTCATCGTGGTCCCGGTCTTCATCAAGCCGTCGCCAAAGGTCACCATCTTCTGAGATCACAGAGGGCACTTATACCGACCAAATTCATCCCGATACAGTTCGCGTGGTCATGAACCTCACATTTGACGGCAAGGAGATCAAAGACTTCCGGAGCCCAGCGTTCGAAGCGTTTCCATGGACAAAACCCGACAAGTACGGGCAGCTAGTGCCGCAAGAGTTCATGAAAGAACATCAAGAGACACGCCCGGAGTTAATGACAAAAGCAATATACCTCCGGTACGGCACTTGTCAGGTGAAAGGACCGAGCGGCCTCGAGTACGACAGCCGGGTATCTATTGTCAAGGACCACGAAGATCTGAGTGAGAGTGCCATCAGAGGCATCTGCGATTTCATCTCGAAACATCCCTATCAAGATTTTCACCTCCGGGTCTACTGGGACTATGGCTGCGCTCAGATCAAGCCATTGACAGAGCAGCAGTTAGCGAACAGCATGTCCAAGTCTTATGCTGGGATGATCAAGAAGGAAATCGAACAGAAGCTCGTGCGCAACTTCCAGACACAGCGATACATCGCCCGCCGTGATCTGGATGTCTTTCTAGATCCCCTAGTGATTGAACAGGTTGTCAAGGAAGACGAGACTCTGGACCTCGACCCCGAAGCCGAGGCCAGGTTCCGCGCAAGGATCCAGAGCCGGGCGCCCAAACTGTTTCTGATCTGCCTATACCGTCATTTAACTATGGCCTTCCTTAAACACCTGATGGATGCGCCACATGACTGCCAGGACCTCCCCAAATTCCGGCCATCATTTGGAATGGAGTGCCAAGATCTCAGGCACGGCTGTACAACACATGAGATCAAGCAATTCGTTGAATGCCTACCCATATTCTTTGCCGAGAAGATAACGCGCGATTACCAGTATCGCCGCCTCTCCCCGTCCAATGTTTTGCCCCTGCATCACACTGGCGAGTACGACGATAAAATAGCTGACCACGCTCGTCTGCCGTTGGGAAATGGCTCATTTGGAAAAGTCTATGCCGTGAAGATCAATCTGGCGCACAATGATGGTGATGTCGTCCACGGGGCCAGAACGGCTGGGATCCTTCATGAACCACTGGTGCCGGCTGCGGGCTATGAGAGTCCTGATCGACAATTTGCAGTCAAAATATTCGACTCGACTGACCGAATGGCGTTTGATCAGGAGAGAGTGATGCTGAAGCACTTCGCCGAATACCCACATCCCCACATCGTTCTGCACTTGACAAGCTGGACGCAAGATGAAGCGCACTACATTCTCTACGACCGAGCCAGATGCAATCTGCGGACATACACCACCGAGGTGCGACGACCGGACCTCGACAGACCACATGTCCTTTGGTTCCTCCGGCAGCTGGACGGGTTGGCGAGAGCAATCGGTCACGTCCACTACTCTAAGAGGCCCACGTTGGCCGACCCGACGCCCGCGGATGAGAAGTATGGACGACACAACGATATCAAACCCGAAAACATACTCGTGTTCGAAAGGGCCGTCAACCAGAACCCAGTGTTCAAGCTCACGGACTTTGGATTAGGAGTCTTCACCGACGCCAAGGTGGGAAACAGGTCCCGGGAGACTGCCAATGTGCGCGGCACTCAGACATACTGGGCACCCGATCATGACCGGAAAGGGAAGATTTCGCGTCCGTTCGATATGTGGGCACTAGGCTGCGTGTATCTCGAGCTTCTCGTCTGGCTCTTTGGCGTGTTCCAGGACAATGACGGGCCCAGCTTTGAGACCCTTCGGCAGGAATATCCCGGCCGCGTTCCAACGGCCGCGGAAGATCGATTCTGGTACGCGACGGGACATGGGCGGAGGAAGGAATACCACCTCAAGCCTGCAGTCACCGCGCTCATTCATGAACTCCGAACGAAGCATTGTGCCGAATTGAGAGCCTTCCTCCACGTCATCGACGCGATCGAGGAGCTACTGGATTGCGACCCGAGAAAGCGGATGGCTGCCGACCGTCTCATGGTGTTGCTGGCTTCAGTAGTGACCCAGGCTGTTACGGATCTCGGCAAACAACCCGACTTCTACCTAGTCCAGCACCGGAAGAATGTCGGTGAGCCAGATTCGTCGGCCGCGTCACTCAGACTGGGGACCGAGAGGATAGATCCCGACATTGGCGATCGTTCGCCTGTGAGCCGAACCCCTAGCCGTGCGCACTCGATCAGCGGCACCGCTTTCTCGCACATTGGAGCAGGGTCTAGCCGTCTACCGCATGAGGGCTCGCCAGGCGAGGCCGGTGACCTGGGCAAAGATCTGGAGGATCTCAGTGCTCCAGCTCCACCGGACGATACGTCGTCATGACGCTGCTGCTGTGATGGGTTCTCGGAGACAGCAAGTCACAAAGACAAGGGTTGTCGTGCATGGTAGGAGACAAAACATACGGAGAGCGAGCGTTTGTATGTGCATGGCTTTTTTCGGCTTCGAAAAAGTTTCTTCACAGGGCGTTTGCTCGTTTACTCATTTACATACCCGGGTGATATCCTGTTATTGATGTATGTCCGCGACCCACGCTCATCGGAGTGACCAGGCAGGACGCTGAGTGGTACGTCAAAGCTAATGTACATATATAATACTAATCATGGGGTTCCGTCTCCCTCCCTCGAGAGGAGTGGGAAGAAGACTCGAGGTTGCTGCTAGGAAACTGATGTATAGATATAGACATGAAAGCAATGTGTTTGGCAAGGGCCCTGTCAAGGAGAGCTCCACCACCGGTGCCACCATTGGGAGATTACACAAGAAGACTGAGAATCCGAGCACTTTACTGTCTGCTGGATTATTGTGCCTCTGAGCTTATATGCTTGTTATGAACGCGAGGAGGCACGCGGTTCATGACCGGCCCAGCCTTAAGAGAGGAGTGCGGGTTGCAGTCGGTCACAACTGTAGCGCTGCGGAGTTCTCTGTAATCTGGGGGCGGCCCCTTCTGCAAAGAGACCCCGTGGGTTTACATACCGATCCTGCGACCGACTATATTGAGCATTGAGGTTTTGAACAAGAATCGAATGTCCGCCGCGATGCCGACTATATAGCCAATACCGTGCTGTACTGTAGCTCTGATTATTAGAATCCCAGCTTAATATGTCCCGTACCCATCCAGATGAGCGTGAGTGTGAGATGTAAGTACCTACGCACGCGGTGTCTACACTTTACGGAAGACACACCTGAGATACAGTCATGGCAGACCGCTCAGGTACATAGGACTGTGCCAATGTGCACTGGTGGTCCAAACATCGCACGGCGGTGAGCATATCTAGAGTGTCCATGTAGTAGTGGGCAGGGATGCAGAGATACAGCTCGCCAGGGGGGGTTTCAATCGAGGATGCGCGAAATATGTACGGTACATCACCTCGTGGAAAGAAACCTTGAGCTTCTTCTTCGCGTCTCTTAATCATCTTCTCAGGATGGGCACTCTATACATTCTGTGTAGCACACAGTGAGTGAGTGGTCAGGGACGTCGGTGAAGTCGACGCGATGACCCCACACAATCCAAACTGACACCTACCACAGTCGTGCATAGGACACCTACACCCACATTCGGAGGCACGTCCTCCGTATTGTCTGCGCGCCTGCACGCCTGCACGCCTGCATCTCATGCACCTCCTGTACGGGTCAATCAACCCAGTACGTACATACGGAGTGCGAGGGAGCTCGTCGCGCGGGTAGACCATCAAGACAAGGAAAGTGGGAAAAGGGCAGGGACTTCTGTTCGTATCCCACGTACGTGTGGATCCGTTGCATGATGTGATGTGATGTGATGTGATGCATGCATGCACGCATGGATGCGTAGGTAAGTACATGCATGCTTGTTTCGGGCAACTTTAGGAGCTTTGACTCTGTCTCTGACTCTGTCTCTGACTCTGTGTCTGCCGCTTTCCCCTCGAGACCCTGTCGAGCTGGAGATGGAGATGGAGCTGCGGGCTGGCAAATGGGAGCCGGCAGCTAGGTAGTGTAGGTAGGTCCTGTAGCTTGCAGTACGATAATTGACCGACCAACTACGTACATACATACAGACATACACACACACAAACGGTGCTGTAACTATCGAACTGTGTGAATTGGCCCATGAGACGAGGATGGCGCACAGCTTGTGCCCACATCTCAGTCACGGGTGGTCCTCACTAAACCACAGACAACTAGGTAGGTAGCACGTGCTTATGTCGCAAAATGAGATCCGACGACCTTACGAACCGAAACGGCGAGGTAGGGAATTCGTGCTCCGTGAGGTAGGTCCGGTACTGTACCATCGCGAGATGGGATGCGTGCGTGATCTGGCCATGCAGTGCCATACCATGCCACGTTCGGGGGTTTGAGAGTTTCCACACAGCAAGCGAGCGTGGTCATGCGTACTGTGTACACGGCCCGGGTCCTCGCTACCGAGTCTCAGAGAGTTCAGTCTGTAGTCTGCATTCTATCTTGCATTGCGCGCTGTGTACGGAGTCTCGGGAGGCACTACGAGGACCCGATTCCAGATCGTGAGCTCCAAGCCCGCAAGCTAATTAACTAACGGACGGAGGACTGGGACTTGGTTAGCAAGCTCGGTTAGAAGCGGATTCGGGGTGGTTGCTTTGCAGGGGGCGCAGGACAGGCGCAGGCGCAGGCACAGACACAGACACAGACACAGACACAGACACAGACACAGACACAGACACAGACACAGACACAGACACAGACACAGACACAGACACAGACACAG